ACTGCAACTGCACAAATGGATTTGTGAATGGATGGTGTGCTTCCCTGTCGAAATGCCAACGTTTTCTGCAATAGTCGCTTTCCCAGGGACACGATAACAATTCCTGCTTCTGAACAAGGGTTAGTTTTGTAAATCTTTGTTAATCTTTGATTGTTAATTCTTGTTTGTCGCTATTTTAGGCTAGGTCGGCGAGATTAAGTTAAATTCATTTCAAAATCAATACTAATTTTTTTATTTTAGACTATAAGAACTGCAACTGCACAAATGGATTTTGTGAATGGATGGTGTGCCCGTCGAAATGCCAACGTTTTCTGCAATAGTCGATGACACGATAGCAATTTCGCTTTGAACAAGGGTTAATTTTGTAAATCTTTGTTAAGCTTTTGATTAACATCCTTTGATTGTTAATTTTGTTTATCGTTCTTGTTTAACTCTAGGATTGTTATTTGTTATTATGTTTTTGTTTACGTTCAATGAACGTAGCTAAAACGTCAGGAATTACCTTAACAAACCACAGCGCTAAACAATTCAATATCAACATAATAATTTGCATTTAAGTTGTCGCTTTAATCTTCATTTGAAGACAAATTCTAGAAAAGCTACATGTCGAAATGCCAACATTTTCGGGTAATAGTCGATGACACGATAGCAATTCCTGTTTGAACAAGGGTTAGTTTTGTAAATCTTTTGTTAAGCTTTTGATTCTTAATTTTGTTTGTCGCTATTTTAGGCTAGGGTCGGCAAGAATAAGTTAAATTCATTTCAAAATCAATACTAATCTTTAAATTTAGGCTATAAGCACTGCAACTGCACAAATGGATTTGTGAATGGAAGGTGTGCCTGTCGAAATGCCAACATTTTTCTGCAATAGTCGATGACACGATAGCAATTCCTGTTTGAACAAGGGTTAGTTTTGTAAATCTTGTTAAGCTTTGATTTGTTAATTTTGTTTGTCGCTATTTTAGCTAGGTCGGCAAGATTAAGTCAAATTCATTCCAAAATCACTAATTTTTATTTTAGGACTATATGCACTGCAACTGCACAAATGGATTTGTGAATGGAAGGAGTGCCTGTCGAAATGCCAACGTTTTCTGCAATAGTTAATGATTAACGATAGCAATTGCAATAGTCGATGACACGATAGCAATTCCTGTTTGAACAAGGGTTAGTTTTGTAAATCTTTGTTAATCTTTTGACTGTTGATTTGTTTGTCGCTATTTTAGCTAGATCAGCGAGATTAAGTTAAATTCATTTCAAAATCAATACTAATTTTTAAATTTAGGGCTATAAGACTGCAACTGCACAAATGGATTTGTGAATGGAAGGTGTGCCTGTCGAAATGCCAACATTTTCTGCAATAGTCGATGACACGATAGCAATTTCTGCTTGAACAAGGGTTAATTTTGTAAATCAAGCCACATCTTCTGAGCTAACAAAAAGTGAAAAACATATCGTAAACTCACTTTTCGCGATTGGTTGAGCCGAAATGTCCAAGCGTTGCCCGAAATTGAGACGAATGTTCCCGTTGAATGGATTCCTCGTACTTTCGGCCTTCAATCCTAGAAAACTTCAGTGTAAATTATGCAATCTAAAGATCTAAAGTAATCTACAGTAGCTTTTCCCTTAATCGTAATCGAAATTTCAACCAAAATTTACCTAAACAGTCGAAGACTTTGGATTCCGTTCGATGTTGTTGACAATGTGGCTTCAGTGGCCTAAAATCGAACTAAGCCAAAATCGAACAAAGCTAAAATCGAACTAAGAAAGAACTAAGAATGAAAATATTCAGAAAAATGTCAAACTAATAGATTAATAGTCAAGCTCAAAAATTAGTTAAAGATAATCATTTTTAAATTGTGAATAATTTCAAGAGCCTCCTCACATTCAACAAAGCGTCGCTGGCTGTGAAGATGCCGATCTCACTGTGGTTTGCGAAAATCTAAAAAAACTTTTCATAAACTGCACAAGTTTAGATCTTTAGATCTTCAGAAGATTAGAAATCTTCTAGTATTTTAAATTTCAATCATTTTTATTTCAATCATTTTTATTTCAATTATAATCATGCCGACAAATATTCTTTTACCCTAAAGTCTCGAGTATAAGTTCATCCGAGTATAAGTTCTGCCTTAATTTACATTCGCTTTAATTGCTTTGAATTTCTTTTGTTGGGTTTTTTATACATTTTTATTGTTATATAAACTTTTATATCATTTTTTTTGGAGCCCGGGATACTACAGGGTGACAGCCTATCACCATTGCTATTTGTTATGTGCATGGATACATCCAGACGATAGTGTTGAAGAAGACGCTGGAAAGCATCTCTTTCGACCGTCGACGTGGACTTTGGCCGGATGAAGAGGCCAGGAGGGATCCATAAGACTGAGCACCGGAGAGGAGCAGGGCGGACGCGCCGAGCCACGCCCGGAGCAACAAAGCAACAACAAATAACAGCATAAAATTGCTATAACCCTCAATAAATTTACTTCTATTATTGTTCTTAAAAAGCAAAAAGTTATGCTGCAGCGGGGTTCGAACCCTCGACACACCGCACCGGAGACAGCCGTCAATTTGCATGCGAAAACCAAATAGAACTTATACTCGCGACTTTAGGGTACCCAAAATCCTCACCTGAACAAGTCCATCCAAAAATCGGATCCGCAAGTCGAAAACTTCGTTTTTCTAAAAAAAACCATGATATTTTTAAAAAATTTAATGTACTTTTCTGAATTCTATAGGATTTTTAAATCTTTCCTACAGTTTTTATCTCTTTTTTTTTCTTTGCAAACCTCAAACGGATTCACTGAAATCTCGTTGATCAATGTGCCGTTTTTCCTCAACGCTTGATAAGTGGTCGTCGAGTTTTCACCTTAAAAAACAAAAGTTATAAACTTTTTAATAGAAAATTCCGAAATATTTTAAATATTTAGGTATTATTATACTACGACGAGTTTTTCTGACGGAATTTTTTAAGAGAGTTTTGTCGCCGTGGCTCGAGCTCGAGAGCTCGAGAGCGCGCTTGTCTACGGCCCACATGACTCGGGTTCGATCCCCCCGTAGTGTCACTTAATTTTGACTTTTTAGACTTTTTTTATTTTAAATAGCACAACTAAAATATATTCAAAGGTTTTCTAAAGAAGTTTCAGCTTTATTGGTCAAAACACGGCTATGCCCGTACAGGCAGACAGACACTGCTCTTTTGGTTGTCAACTAAATAAACGGACTTTTTAGAAAAAGTCGATTTCAAAAATGATGGCTGAGCCGAATGAGATTTTCAACAATCATTTTGCAGAGGAAATCTAGATATTTTCAATGGTGCAAATGATACTGCTTTGCTCTGCATTTGCTGAGCATTTTGCTGAGCATTTCAACATTTGTAAAACCAATTTTTAGTTTCAAAAGTCGAGTTATTTCGTTGATAACGATTTGGTTAAGGAAAAAGTTCTGACTCAGCTGCGAAAAGTTCAATTTGTTTGGTTTTTCTGCTGGTTTTTCGCGCTTATAGTGTTGTACCAATGTTAATCTTTGTATTCTAGATGTGTTTCCAAGAAAAAGAGTTTCGAGTTTTCATCGGCTATTGTTGGAAACGGAAACTTTCAACAAGAGATGCCGTGGAAGAGATTTGCGATGGATTTGCTGTAGGTGAAGGAGCTGCAAGTCAATGAAAAAGTTTCAAGATGGTACAGGTGCTTTGATTCCGGTGACACGAGCCTTGAAGACTTACCGCGTTTCGGTCGACCGCTAAAGTTAGATGATGGTGACTTGCATTTCCTGAAAGGTCGCCGATTCGAGTCATTTGAAGAAGTTGAAGAAGCTTGCCAAGAGTTCTTTGATTCGAAACCGAAGGAGTGATGTACTTCGACCAGATCCGAAAGCTTGCAGATCGATTGCAGAAAGTCGTAGATAATCATGGGTGTAAGGGTGAAGATTGAGCTCATTTTTGGCCATAAGTCGAACTGATTCACGAGCGATCCCCGTCTGTCGAGCGATCTTTCTCATTGAGGCCTGTGGATTTCGGACCACGCGCTTCTGAATCACTTTGCGATTTCTGGAGCTATTGACTGTTCTTTTTCTGCCTCTTCCTGGACGATCTCCATCGTTGCCAAGCTCCTTGTATCGCTTAATCGCTTTTGAGACGAGCTGATGAAAAACACGTAGCAACCGCGCGGTTGCACTCACCTTGACGCTGAAGCTCCAGAATGGTAGATCCCTTGTTTGTCATCCTACAAGAAATTGAATAGACCTTGACGATGAAGCTCCAGAATGGCAGATCCCTTGTTTGTCCTCCTATAAAAAAATGAACAGACTTGAAACAAAGTAAAACAACAAAGAAACTAAAAAAAAAAACAATCACAGAGAGTAGGTTAAAAATAAATTTGTCTCCCAAAATTGAAACTTTGAGGATTTTAGGTTGCCGAAAATCCCGCAACGTTATTTCTGGTCACCCTGTAATAATAACTGTTTTGAAAGCGCGCATGAAAATTTGAATTTTTCGCAGCTGAGTCAGGATTTTTTCCTCAGTAATAAATAGATTGAATTCGTCAAAATTCTACCCGTTCCATTGCTGAAAAGTGCGCAAATCTTCAGCCTCACATCAACATCCTGGGTGAGCGAGAAGCAGAAACTGAAATGAAATTTTGTTATGGCTTTAAATTTGTTTTTGTATTCACTGTTTGCATAGAATTTTTGGATAAATTTTCGATGTATATGTCGTAGCCGTTTACGAAATTCATCCGCTAACGAATGAGGGCATTTCTGGGCATCCAATCAAAAAGTCGCCCACATAAAAAATGTTCATAATACATATATTTTATAATAAATTTTTGAAATTAGCTCATTTGGTTCAGTAGAAAAATTTTTTGAGCCCCAAAGTTTAGGTTCAAAAATGGCTATAAAAATTTTCTACTCAGCCAAAAAACTTGCCTAATAGCTCATTTTGTAGCCAATTTGATGTAGTTTCTTAAAGTAAAGCCATCTAAAACAATTTTTCGTTGAAAGTAGGAGAAAGAGGGCGAGGAACAAATTCAGGGCAATTCTCAAATGTGAAAACAGCGACCGAGTTCAACTGAAGTCGTTCCTCGCCCTCTTTCTCCTAGCTTTGAAAAACAAATGTTCAATGTAGCTTTACTCTAAGAAACTACATCAAATTGGCTACAAAATGAGCTATTAGGCAAGTTTTTTGGCTGAGTAGAAAATTTTTTATAGCCATTTTTGAACCTAAACTTTGGGGGCTCAAAAAAATTTTCTACTGAACCAAATGAGCTAATTTCAAAAATTTATTATAAAATATATGTATTATGAACATTTTTATGTGGGTGACTTTTTGATTGGATACCCGGAAATACCTCTCATTCGTTAGCGGCTGAATTTCGTAAACGGCTACGACATATAAACCTAGAGCTTCTCACTCACTCGGTTGCGCTTTTGCTAACATTTCCGTAAATGTGATAGTATTGACCGATTTGCAATGGATCACCCAAAGGGATCTTCAATGGAAAGAGGCTCGATGGGACGGTCTGAAATAAATAAAATAATTGAGCTCAATAAAGGAAAATGTTTTGAATTTGTGAAATTAGTATCATTTTTAGCTCTAACTTGCCTGGAAAATCGACTATTTAAATATTACGCCCATTTTTCCCGCTAAAGTTCTAGTTTTCAACAAAAATATCTAGAAATGATCTCCTAAACCCACCAAATTCTGCTCGCCAAAAAACGGCAAATCTTCGTTGTTTTTGTTGTTGAATAAACCGCCAAATATCGCGGTTAGCACCACTAAAATAAAGTTAGTTGGGCTCTTTCAATGAATTGTGGTCTTCTGAAAGTATCGTGGTCTTTAAAAGTATCCTGGTCTTCTGAAAGTATCGTGGTCTTTTAAAAGAAAGCCTCTGTGTCGTGGCCACTTCAGGGAGCCGACATTTGGTGACATCACACAGAATTCCTCGTGGTCTCAACAGGATATCGTCAAGTTGACAAGGATGTCTGTCTTGGCTGTATGTGAAGGCCAGCTTTACAGGTATTTGCGTGTCTATGGAAACGCAAGGTGTGCCAAGCCTTGCGTTTTGTTGGGATGCTAAAATTGTTGTTCTTACGATTGTTCTTTAAATTCTGATTCAATGTGCACGTGGAACTTAATAAAATGCGTTAAAAAGACTTTTTTGGTAAAAAAAGAAACAAAACAAGAAATTGCAAAAGACCACGAAACTTTTAAAAGACCATGAAACTTTTAAAAGACCACGGTTCTTTTAAAAGACCACGGTTCTTTTAAAAGACCACGGTTCTTTTAAAAGACCACGATTCAGGAAAAGAGTCGTTAGTTGTTAAGTAAAGTTAGTTAGTTAAGTGCACCAGAACACTGACTGAAAGCGACAATCCAGCAGCATCCCTGTCGTCGACCTTGATCAAAAGCGCCACATCGATAGCGAAGGCGGCTAAAGTTTGACTCGTTTAGAGGATTCCTGGGGAAACTCTTGGTGCCCATTCAGTGTAATTCTCAAGCAATAAAGCTTCGTGATCTTTACAGCATTTATCGTTTTATCAACTCCATTGTACACAGATCGCAAAGGTTCTTTTTAAGAAAAGGAAGCTCAGAATTTACTCAGGAAGCCCTGAGTAAAATTAAAGAAAAATCGACTTTACAAGAAACTTGTAAAGTCGATTTTTCTTTAATAAAATTGCTATTTTTCAGATTTTTAAGATTTCTAATTTAATTTAATAAGATTTTGTATTAAAATTTATTAAAATTAAAATAGAACAACAATTAACCTGAAACATCCCTCTTTTTCCTCTCGAACATCATCAACCGGTGGCTCGGTTCTTTTCACCGCCGTGTAGTCCATGTTTTTTCAACAAAATTGGCTTTTCTTCTTTATTAGATAATAAGAATTCTTAGATTAAACAGATTTTCGAAAAAATATTAGAACATCTTTGTGAGATAAACTAAAAAAAAATCTCGATTTTCAATGCTCATCCAAAAAAAAGCGCTGAGCGATGAGCGAAAAAAAGCACTTACTCAAATGAGTCAAAAAAAAGCACTTTCTTATTGTTAAGCTGAAATCTTTGGGTTTAAATTCGCAAATTTGCACATTTCCCGTCAATTTTACTTGCAACAAAATGAAAATTGATTGAAAAGAGCAAAAATTCTGACGTGAAAAGTCAATTCTATTGGATTTCTTTTTTTCTTTCATCAATTATTGAATAAAATTCGATTATTTATTGTTTAAAAAGAAGAAAAATATTGGAACAGTAATGGAGCCATCTTGGAACCATATTGGAACCAGATTGGAACCATATTGGAACCATTTTACATCCAACATGAGTAAAAATATTCAATAAAATGCCTTCAAGAATATGTGCAAAATCGGGAAATTCAATTGAACAATTTTCACTTACAAAATATTAGTAGTATTAGCGAAGCAAAATATTTGAGTAGTATTAGGAAGGGTTTGGACTAAGCTCCCCGTCTGGTATCTTCTCGTCTGTAGGAAAATTCAAAGTATCTTTAGAGTAACGGATTAGATCTTATGTCAAATCGTATGCCATTGCAAATCTGCCCTATATTTAACCTTTTTGTACCTGTGTTTCCTAACTGCAGTCTTACTGGACTGGACTTACTGGACTGGACTTACTGGACTGGACTTACTGGACTGGACTTACTGGACTGGACTTACTGGACTGGACTTACTGGACTGGACTTACTGGACTATTTTCATTCTTACTGGACTTAGGCAACTCGGGTGGGATGTAATTGTTGAATAGGGTGGCGGCGATTGTTAAAGAGGTCCGGGTAGCGCCCCCCATGGTACAAGAATCGTCCCCTCACCGTCAAATTTCAATGGGTGAAGAACAAGTGAAGAGTAAGAACGATAAGAGAAACACAATTGTTAGAAAAGCTATAATGAGATAACAACTCTAATAAAACTACAAAATATGCTTTTGATAGCAAAAAGAACAGCTTGCTATCAGAATTTGAAATCGAGAAAACGTTCAAAAACGTTAAAAAACGTCAAAAAGATAACCATAAAACATAAGCAAACTATAATCAAGCAGAAAGCTCAAAAAATTTCTTTTAATAGCAACAAGAAAAGCCGTGGATAAAAGCCTGATTCCTTTCCTTTTCTCTCTTGAGTCCACATATCGATTTGCGCCATTTTTCCCCTTTTCCCCTCGTTTTTTTCTTCTTTTCTTTCATTTTTCGCTCTTTTTCCTGATGCTATTCTTTACCTTTTTCTCTATTTTGACCTCGTAAACACAGAACAACCTTCATTCAAATCATTAAGTCTTTTTTGAAAGTTCAATTAACTTTTTGAGTTTCTTATCTTTTGAACACTGAAATTTCCGATTCCCTCCACGCCATTTCGTCGAAAATTTTATTTGACTGTTAGCGTTTGATTTGACTTTCCAATACAAGTTGCTCAATGGTTTGGTTGAGCTGTTAATAAGTTACAATTAGGTTTAGGCGAACAATGAGGCGAACAATGAACGAATAACTGCTTGAAAGGCACAAACAATGGTCACAGAAAGCATTTCAACAGGGATCATCCAGATCTGTGAACATTCATTAAAGGACTTGGAGGATTTCAACAGAAGATTGACAACAAGATGGCATCAAGTCAAGATATCTTGCCTTGTCAAGGAGAAACTTTAATATTTATAATTTCTATCAAATTTACTGTGAGAAATAATAAATTCAAATAGCTGTTTTCTTTTTTTAAAAAAGAAAACTTCATTATAGTCAAGAAGAAAGTAGAAGAAACTCTTATAGAACTTTAAAAACTAATTTCCGCAGCCAATTATTGAATTCTCAATCATTTACTGAAAGAATTTGATCAAAAGAAAGAGAATAATCAACTTTTAAGCGCACTTTATGCCTACAAAATTTACAAAAGAACTCAATTAAAAAGTTTACACGAGAAATCAATTGATCTAGCGATATAAACTACTAAAAAAACTATAAAATCCATAAAATCTATAAAATAACAAACGCAAATTTCTAGAAATGGAGAAAGTTTCTAGAAACTGAATTGTACAATTGTATTATCAAATCTCAAAATCGATCTCGTTTCTATGTGATGGTAGTGGCAGCCGTTAAAGGTGGCGGTCGAAGTGACGACAATGGCATCACCACATCGATCGCTCGACCACGCCGGTGATCACGCAGAAAGATCACCACGTTCAGGCTGAAATTCAATAAATATTGTACATTTTAGACCCTATAAAAACCAAGCTTTAAAGCTACTATAATCCGTTTCCTTTTTTCGGCTACCGTAATCTTGTCTCTATTTTTTGAGCCAATTGTTTTGCCCGGAAAGTCTTGCTCACATTTTTGAAATTTTCATTTCAAATGACTAATTAGCCGATAAACGTGTGATTTGCTTTAAATAAAAAGATTAATTATAATTTTTACCTACCGTAAATACTAGTAACCCCACCCCCTTGTACAGTCGCGTAGTCGCAAAAGTTTTTTAGTATTTCACTTTTTTGCAAAGCACCCGTACTTTCAAAAAATGCGTCTTTGGTATCAAAAAATAGCCCTGAATTTCAGCTATTTTTTGATACCTAAGCGCGCATTGTAGCATAAACCAGTGTCGAGAAACACTCGTTCAAAGCTAGACTACGCAACACTCCGCACCGTCATTATGGGGTTGGGGTACTATTACAGTATTTACGGTAATTCTTGGGTAAAATTCAGCTTTTGAAGCAAATCCGAACGGGAATTCTTGATGAAAAATTGAAGATCCTATGCAGCCAACTACCAGTCTAATCGACAACCTGAGAAGTTACCGCTCGCCCGGTAAGCGAAAGGTCGCGGGTTCGAATCCCGGTGCCGGCCATGTTTTGCATTCTTAACCCCAACCCATAAAAGGACCGGCGTCTAGATTACTGTAGATCAAATTATCTAGATTACTGTAGACTCACCCAAAAACACTGTACAATGCTAAATTGATGAAAGTGACGAGGAAAAAAAGCCAGAAACTGCTGAGAAACCAGCTGAATGTGGTGATGAAGCCGGCAGCGACACCCAACGCGTTAGCCGAGTGGTTGATCACCATCTGAGGATAAGGCATTAAGAATTTAAGCCGTAAGCGGATAAGCCCAGGCTTCGCCCCTTTTTTTTCCGTTTGTTGTTGGCAATCTACGAATTTTGCTCGTATCTTAGCGGGTTTTTTTGAGAAAACGTTGAATTTCCTTTCATTCGATTTGAAATCAAATTTTCTATCGAATGAATGGAAATTCAACGTTTACTCAAACAAAGCTGGCTAAACTACGAGCTGGCTAAACTACGAGCTGGCTAAACTACGAGCTGGCTGAACTACGAGCTGGCTAAACTACGAGCTGGCTAAACTACGAGCTGGCTAAACTACGAGCTGGCTAAACTACGAGCAAGTAGATTGCCAGCGGCAAACGGACGGAAAAAGGGGCAGGGTTTAACACTGGACTGGGCACACCAGAAGAGCTCAAAGTACACCTCCACTCACCATTATCGCCAACTTAATCTCGGTGTAGTGATTCGATCGGTACTTGAATTTCTGAACATTTAAACATTTTATCATTTAGTTTTACCGGTACTGTAGCTTTTAGCCAAGTACTATCACGTTTTTTTGGTTCCTTTTCGTTGGTATTCGCTGTAAAAAAATCACCCAAAACACTCACCATTTGCCGACTCACTTTCGTCAACACAAAAGCATCCAAAAAAATCATCACCAACCAAATAAAAACCAAATAATAAAAGGAAATAATCAAGAAATACCAATACAAAACATCGGAAAGGTTTAAATCTTTTGCCAGCGTGTAAATGGCGAATGAGAAAAGATACGTGTCAAATGTGGCGATCACCCAGTAATCTGAAAGTGTGTGCTGCTTGTATTGTGACGATCAGCCTACCTAGCTAAGGTACTGTTTTCTAAAAGATGTTATTATAATCTTATGCATCTTTTGCCAAAAACCAAAAGAATTGGCGGCAAGAGGAGTCGAACCCGCGACCTCTGTCTTTCGTTTGTTTGAAAGACGAGCACGTTAACCACTCGACTGCTGGGATGGTGCAGTGCAAGCGCAGTTGCCTCTAGCTCACACGATCCGGGTTCGACTCCCACCCACGTCAAGATTTTTAGTTTTTTAGAAATTTGAAAGCATTTTGCATAACTATATAGAATTCCAAGCCAAATTAATCATAATTCATTTGAAGCGGGTGCAGAGGAGTGCAGAGGAGTAGTGCGCAAAAACAGAGAGACAGACAGACAAATAGACAGGCAGACAAACAAACAGACAGACAGACAGACAGACAGACAGACAAACAGACAGACAAACAGACAGACAGACAGACAGACAGACAAACAGACAGACAAACAGACAGACAGACAGACAGACACAGCTCTTTTATTGTACTTTATAGTATCAATAGATTATTATGTCGATTATTTTATCAAGATATATAGTAGATTACGGTATTCTGGTTACTTTCGTCTTTAGTAAACTCACAATTGAAAACGGGTGCATAGAGGAGAGCCGCGCCAACGAAAAGCACAATCATTTTCACTTTTTGACTCACATAGTGATTTCGTCGATAATAAACACCGTCAAAGATCACAGCGAGCACTCTAAATGTTCGGGATTTGTTTCGTCGTTGATTTCCCGTTGATTCTTGACCCAAAGCCTCTGGCCAATAAGCAAGTTGATAAGGCGAATTTCGATCTTTTCCATCATTTTCCCTACCGATTACTCGTCGTCATCAACTGGGCCGTGCAAACGATGAGAAATTGGCAATAGTAAAGATAGGAAACGATCCGATCGACTAATGGGACATAGTAGCGGAGATCCCTGGAAATATCGACAAATTTTCTTCACTAAAAGTTGACCTTAGCTATCGTGTCCTATTTTAGCAAAAAAGTGCGCTTTTAACTGTCGCCTGTCGACAGGAACCTATTTAACTATTAGAACCGTATCAGATCAAAATAGGAACCGTATTGGAACCGTATTGGAACCGTGTTTGAACCGTATTGGAACCGTGTTTGAACCATATTGGAACCGTATTGGAACCGTATTGGAACCTTAAAAGGAACCGTATTGGAACCGTATTGGAACCGGATTGGAACCGGATTGGAACCTTAGAAGCAACCGTATTGGAACCATATTGGAACCGATTGGAATCGTATTGGAACCGTGTTTGAACCGTAATGAAAGTAAATGTTTCAACTTTCCACAAAAGAAAAGCCTGTCGCCCCTGTCGCCGAAGTACATGCGTTTGACTCTCGGTTCTGAATAAGTAGTAAAAGTAGCTAGCGACCTAGCAAGACCTAGCAAGATCAGGTTTACTTTTAACCCTGGTGTGAATAACTGTCACCAAAAAGCTATTCAGCTAAAATGTGGACAGTCTGGCCTGGTTTTTTGGCAATATAAACCCTTTTTTGTACTTTTTTTGACTCTCTTCTTCTTCCGATTTTTTTGAGAAAGTTTTTCTCTAGTTTTTTGTCTATAAATGTGTTTGTTTTGGCATTTAGCTCGTGTCATAAATTGTATTCTGCCAAAAGCTTGGTTCTGTTCTGAAAGCTTAGAAATTGACACAGAAAGTACACTCGAGTCACGACACGCAGGCTGGGAATCGAATCTAGGTCGCCCGCGTCGCGAGCATTCTTCCACTGAACCACCTGCGTGTCATAAAATCGTATTCTGCCAAAAGCTCTGGTACAAGAATCTAGTTTTTCTTTATCCCATTATTGTCGATTAAAAACTTTCACTGAATTGATGAAAATCACTCATTAGCGATTGCTTAAACGATTGCTTAAACGTAAAACCCTGTCCAATCAATCATTTGCTTTCTTCGAACGTTTAAGATTCTATCAAAAACGAACCACAGCCCGCAAGGAATTCCCCAATATCTATAAATTTTCTTCACTAAAAGTTGACCTTAGCTAACGTGTCCTATTTTAGCAAAAAAGTGCGCTTTTAACTACCGTTCCCTATCTCCAAAGTACATGCGTTAGACTCTCGGTTCTGGATAAGTAGTAAAAGTAGGCTAGACCTCGCAAGACCTAGCAAGATCAGGTTTACTTTTAACCCTGGTGTGATAACAAGAATCTAGTTTTTCTTTATCCCACTATTGTCGATGAAAAACTTTCACTGAATTCATGAAAATCACTCATTAGCGCAGATTGCTTAAACGTAAAACCCTGTCCAATCATTTCATTTGCTTTCTTCGAACGTTTAAGATTCGATCAAAAACGAACCATAGCCCGCAAGGAATTCCCCAAAAAACGTGTTCGAATAGAATAAAAATTCGGCAAATAAACTCCACATAGAAATACAACTTCACGTCATTGGTGAGCTTTGAATTATGTTTAACAACATGTAGCGCCAAAGCTTGGATGACAATGCCAATGAGACAAATCTAAAGGAGTACTGTAGCGTTTATGGCACTCTGCTCAGCGTTTATGGCACTATTTTAAGCTCAGTTACGATAGTTTTGAGGAAACACGTATTCTCGTTCTAAAGCGTTTCCCTTAAAAAGTGAAACTACCGTACACATCCGCGCGAAATAAGGCAAAAGATCGTTTTCTATAGGGTTTTTACGTTTGAATAGCCAATTGACGCAGAAAAATGTGCTGAATCCGAAAATAAAAGAATTTTTGAAATCACTTTAACAAATTTTTAAAAAATCGAGTTTTAGTGATTTTACCGTGTTAAATTTCAGCCATCTTTTATTGTCAAAGCAAAATTTTGAAAACAAAAGCCTAAAACAAAAATGTAAACCGCAAGTTTTATTCTACGGGTTTTTCTCTATCTTTTGATACCAAAAACATAAAAATTGATAAACCCTATAAAAAGTTATAGCCTTTTGAAAATAAAAATGTGGTTCCTGGGTTATTGCAGACTATAACGCGGATAAATTACCGTAACCCGAAAGAGAAAAAGAGCAAAATTAAACTTTTCTTGCTACAATCAAACCATTTTCGTTATTTTTCTTCTTTTCAAGATGGTGCGTCGATCTCTGCGGATTTAAGTCAAGTTTTCGGATTCAGCACATTTTCCCGCGTCAATTGGCTATTCAAACGTAAAAATCCTATAGAAAACACATTTTCGCGCGGATGTGCCGTAGCGCTCTTTCATTCTATTGAAGGCTCATTTATTCTATTGAATGCAAATCCACTCACCCCACCCATCATCGAGGCGGCGGTTGGCGGATCAACTCCAGGATCATCATAAATCGTTACATCAGTGCAATTTGTGATCGTTGTTCCATTCATTTCACTCTTCGTGCAATTCCCCTCCGATCCACCGTAACCAAAAGTTTCATTCATCGACAAATCATCGTAAAAATAGTAGTACGGATCAATCGGCATCACGTTGGCGCTCATTTTTTCTAAAAAAAAGTTCTTTTTACTCGAAAACAATTGAGAAGAGATTTGGGAAGTGGGACAAATGCGACCTTTTTTTTGCGCACCCGGACATTTGCGCACCTTTTTTTCCGCACTTAGCCTATTAGCGCACCTTTTTTCGCGTTTTAAAAAAGGTCTAAAAAGCTAATATTAACCAATTTCTATTCCAATTTCTATTCCTTTCTATTCTATTTCTATTTCTATTTCTATTTTTCTAGGTAATTTTAGGGCGTAGAATCGAAATTTTGACATGTCAGAGCTTGTGGAAACAAACAAACAAACAAACAAGAGTTATACAAAGAGAAAAATCGACAACTTTCTGTAATTTGATCTAGCCGTTTTGTCTTTCAAATTGGTTCCACACGCTCTGTTATGTCAAAATTTGAATTCGACACCCTAAAATTACCTAGAAAAACAACTTTTGGAATAGAAATTGGTTAATATTAGCTTTTTAGAGCTTTTTTAAAACGCGAAAAAAGGTGCGCTAATGGGCAAGGTGCGGAAAAAAGGTGCGCAAATGTCCGGGTGCGCAAAAAAAAAAGGTCGCATTTGTCCCACTCCCGAGATTTGCATTTGAATGAGGGTTATGGTATTTTAAAATATTCAAAAGAAACGAAATTTTCATTTAAAACGGCTATACTATATTTGAGACATTTCCAAATTTTTCCAAAGACAAAAATTTTCCCAAAAAAAAAGATTTCAAAGTATTCATTGGAGATTTTAAAAACGAATTTCATTTCTCCAAAAAAAAAGCTACGTGAATTTAAACAACCAAATTTCTCTGATTGTTCACCCACTCATATCAAACAAAAGCAAAAACTTGGTCAGCGTCTAAAACTAATTATTTTTCAACTATTCACAAGAAATCACCTCAGGTACCTCAGCCAGTCAAATTTCAAATTTCCCAAAGGAAAACAAAGAAAAAAAGTGAATGGGGTGATCAAAAATGAAAATGAAAAAAGGATAAAATGAAACGAATGAGCTCCAGGCAATTTTGCGCAATAATTTCATTTCTGATAAGCTTTCGATAATGCATTTTGTCGTTTGTTTTGCTCAATGTCTAAAAGAAATTGAGAAACTTTGCCAAACAGACAAAAAAAACCTAGGAAAAGTTATAATAGACAGCTTTTTATCGTTTTATCCTATCCTCTAGAGAATTTTCGTAGTTATTAACTTATTATAAATTTTCAAGAAAAGTGATTCAAACTAATCACTTCATATTGTTTGATCTTTTATAAATTCTTCACTGGCCAAAGATTCTTTTGAATCCCTCATTAATATTGTTTATTCCAGAAAATATAGAAAACCAAAACCAAAAAATGCCAAAAAACAAATGATAAAATCATTGTTCAACGTTCAGATTTCGGATTCCATGTCGGTGTCGCTGGTATCACTTCCCATTGTCATTGCGGGACGATCGGAGACGATTGAACTAAAAGAAACTATGATCAAGTAAACGATTGATTCACATAAGAAATGCGAAAATTGTAATTCATATTATGGTGATCTAGTCGCTGCGCTACTGTCAGGGGATCTAGTCACTGAACGTATCAACATCAGCTATCATTCTTAGTTCTAGTCCAAATGGCTATTACAGTAACACCCAATTAAATAAAACTTCATCAAAAAAATTTACGCAGTCTCAAAATCCGCCTCCTCAACACCCTCAAACTCCTCGATTGCATCCTGGAAATCGTCGATTTCATCCGGCTGTTCACTAAAACAACGAAACAATAGACGAAAACACCCACTGTAATCCACTTACGCGATAGCATTAGTAATTTGCTGTGCCGCAATTGCTCCATCTGCGTACATCTAAAGCACAAAATTTGCAAAAGAAATCCCAGAACAAAAACCTGCACATTTCTCAGCATTTGGGCCACTTTTTTGTTAGTTGCTTCCAGGCCGAGCGAGAGTCCTGGTTTCACAGATTTGATTTGCATCGAGACCAACGATTGAGCGCTCGACGAAGCACTCGATGGAGGCATGACTGTCTAAAAGAGATTAAATAGAGTTGAAATGGAGAAATAGTGCTTAAAATGGTATTAAAAGTAGTAGATACTAACGATACTGTAATCTAATTCAGCCAGCTCACACCAAAATACAAAGTATTCTGCCATGCTGAACAAGCATACTGATCAACTCGTCTTTACAACATTTTTTGACGAAAATATCTTTAAAACCCAACCACTTGTGGCTTGATGTTAATCTGAGGACGAAGAGTCGGAACCCATTGACCGAAGAAATTTGTAAACGACGCAAGTGTCGGCCACAAAAATGCGAACCTTGACACAAAGGGCAACATTGCAACCATTGTCACTATCCACATCGTAAACTAAAACAAATACTTATCCTATGTTAATATCCTTAATCATACTTGTTCTTTGGGTTTCACAAAGTCGGGTAAAATCGGAATGATTCGGCGTCCCTTCAGCCGTGTGTTGCCAACGAAGATCTAAACTCAAACATACAGTTGATTAATGGTAACCATTAAAATAAACTATAGATCATTATAAAAACGCACCTGAATTCCGGCAAGGATGAGGACAAAAGTCGCAAAGATGTGAAAAAGAAAGTAGACCGCAATCATTTCAATCACATGCGCAACGGGAGGCGAAACTCGTGACGTCTAAAACGAAACTCATAAGAGGAAAAACAATCAAGAAAACTTACAAATGGCTTAACGGTAAGCATGAAGAGTCCCTCGAGGCTTAGGCCTAAAAGCAGAAGATTATCGTATATATTCCAATAGAAAAAAAATTAACCAGCGCTTAGAAAAAATGATTGAAAAACCATGAAAAATCGGCTTTTTTTCCACTTTTCAATCACTTTTTTTAAGCACTGGTTAATGCTAAAAATATGTATTATATCTCAAAAAATCACCCACCCTTCCTACTTTAATTTGATATCTAAGCGCACAGAAACAAATGTAATAGTGTCGAGATTTAAGCGTTTGTTTGAAAGTAAACTCAGACTACGCGACACTCATATGGGGTGCTTCTATCAGAAAATTTACGGTAGTTACACGTTTAACCAGCTTGTTTATCAGTTTTTTACGATTAAACGATAAGATTGAGTCTGTGTAGCGATTAGATTTTGATAAAGTACGGCTCTAGGTATTTTAAAGACAAAATGCTATAAGAATTTACCGTTATCGTTCTTTCTACGCCATCTTTTAACCAATAAACAGATTTAAGCTCTAATAAACTTTCAAAATGTACCTTTCGCGAAAAGTGAGGTCAGATGAACGGAGAGATCCCTCAATTGAAGCCAAAGCTGCCGAGTGCGCACGCGAATCATCTTGCAAATGAAGATTGACGAGCATTTCGGTGAGTGAAGCTGAAAGTTTGAATGTAAATTGAGCGAATATGAAAATGAAAACAAGAAAATGAAAACGTGAATTCGGGATTTACTGGTTTCAGCAGCATCAGCAATATCGGCAATTCACATTGCCGCTGCCCGGGCACCGTCTTTAGTAGCGCTCTGTCCTTATTTGTAGCCGGCGCATTGTTGACCCGGTTAGGCTAGTCTACCCTTTCACAATTTCTGTCAAAAATAATAATGTCTGAAATTAAACCCCCAACATTGCCAACCAGCACCAGCACCGTGGTCACCAATCAAGCGCCATCAATACCGACCGCCACCGCAGCTACGGCCACTGTTGCTGCAACAGCCGACATGCCGATTGCCACTCCATCGCTTCAACCGCAAGCCGCATCTTTGCCTCAATATTCAGTGCCAGGACCAGCGGTAAGTTCAACTCGAAGTAAAGTAAAGAAATACTTTCAGCAAGGGACCACCAAATACCAACAACTTCTCGCGCTAATTGAGGAGATGGGCAAGGTTCGTTTGAAATAGAAATTCCTTTTAAAAAAAATACCGATTCAGGACATTCGACCGGCCTATACAGGGAATAAAATTTGCGCCGAACGCTTGAAACGTGTTTTGGTGCACGCTAGGTGAGTGAACAAAGTTATTATCGTAAACCAAAGCATCGTTGATGTCGAACAACTCTTTGAAATGATATTCGTAAAGGGAAAATTAAAATTCTTAACACCAAACCAAGGTGTAGCACTGTCATTGTCGCTAGGTCATAGCCGGCACGTTTTTGACTTGAAAGCTTGATTAGACCAGTGATAAATTACAGAATCCTGGCCCGGGAATGTATCATGGAAGCCGATCGGGATAGAGCAAAGCAACAAAGTTAAGCGGTTTGATGGTAAATCAGATGTATTAGAGCTTTCAACATTTCCAAGTGGTCTCTTTTCTCATTTTTAAACCTTTTGCTGTACAACTTGTAAAACTTTCACACTTTCCCCTTTTCAAAGAATGAAATTGTGATTTTCTTCTTGTCAACCTTTCGTTATACTTTGGTATGCTTAGGGGGACACTTTGAAAGTATAACCTTTGGGCTTTTATAAAGCCCGTCTACAGTCTGATTTGTTTTGACGTGAATTAAAAAAATGAGCTTTATTTTGTTATAAAAAATCGTGGAATAAAGTTTTCTCATTTTAGCGCCAACCACACAAAATCGAACTAAAGTTTCTTGTGCATGCTACCGTTTTTGCGTTTTGTTTTCAATTTATAATTCTTTACATAATACGATTTACATAATTGCTTTATGTTCAGAGAATGGCCGATTCGGTGGTACTAGAGAAACGACCGGCTTTTTGTCGATATCACGATGAGGTTTTGGTCGTTTCCACCTATCAACTCCAGGAAAATGAGCGAAACGGATCTCTCCACTTCTTCAGCGAAAATTTGGAAAAGGTGGGAGGTTTTTGATCAGCTGGAGCATTGCCCAGCTTTTTTCCATTTTAATTAGTTGGGGTTTCTTTGTGTGTTAACATGTTATTCTGTTATTTTCTTACAGTGAGTGTGCAGTTGTATGGCAAGATTAAGTGTGCTTTCAAATCAAAATCGAAAAAAAATTATCCCGTGACAAAAATTTTTTATTCGTTCATTTCGTATCGAAGTATGCCGATTGTGCGCCACCTCCCGTTGCTTGACCAGGTGCAGCAATGTAGGCCGACGTAGCTGCTCCTCCACTGGGTGCCGTTGTAGGAACGGGGGCTTCAACCGTCTTGGAAGCTAAACACAAAATAAAACCAAATGAGAAACACGAACAAACCTTCACCGGATGCACCTACTCCACCGCCTGTGTGTCCATCAGCTGTCATGATCGATCCTCCGGGCACCGCGGCGGGTCCTAAAATTTGAGTTTCACGAAACGAATAATACAATTATTACCTCCAACGCCCGTCATCGAAGCTCCTCCTCCCTTTGTTGGTGCTGGTGAGTCGAACAGACTCCTGCCCCGACACTGACGAGGAGTCAAGCCGAGAGCCAAATCTTCTCGTTCCGGAGTCAATAATGGGTCCAAAAGGCTTCTACAAACAGAAAATTATGAATTTAAGTAAACGAGTTACCGATCCATTGGTGCTGGTGAGTCGAACAGCCCCATGGCCGGAACTCCGCCTCTCTTTGCTGCGAGAAGAATCGCATCGATATGACGCTGATATTGAATAGCGCCGGGAGTCAGATCTTGTCCTTCCGGAGTCGACATTGGGCCCAAGCTTCTAGAACCAGAAAATTATGCATTTAAGTAAACGAGTTACCGATCCATTGGCGCAGGTGTGGTGCAGCCAGTTGCAGGCATAGGGGCGGCTTGAGGGGCTTCACCAGTTGCGGCCGAGTTGTTGTAGGCTCCGGCGGAGATGTAGGCCGATTGATTTCCAGCAGCTGGCTGCGCTTCGACTCCAATATAGGCCGACTGCGCTCCGGTACCATTAGCTGAGAACTAAAAAAAGTTGAATGAGTGCGTAACGCTAAGTTTTAAGTGCCAATGGGCAAAAAACCATTTAATTTCAAGCTAACTTATAAAATCCCAATGGACAAGAATAAAAGCTGGCTTCTATAAACCAACAAACGAAAAAACTTCTATAAATAACTTATAAAAAAACCGGCAAGTATAAAGTCAAAATGGGCCAATGGGGAAAATGTAAAAACAAAAATAATAAGAAAAACTCACCGCTCCTCCAGCTCCAGTAGGCTTTGCGGCTCCTCCAGGGGTGAAGTAGGCGGACGGGGTTCCTGGGTTCTGATTGGGTCCTCCCGAGCTGGACGTCATCATGAAGAGAATATAATGAGACGATATGAGAAGTCAGCTCTGAATTGTTGCTTTTATTTGATCCATAAATGCAAATTCAACGGTTTTCATAGTAAAATTATCCGTCTGCGGCAAGTGCAAATATTTATATTCAAAAAGTGCTTGGATATAAATCCCGCTATAAACTAAATTCGAAATCTACTTTTTTCTGGACCAATTTTTCATGCTGATCTCGAATTTCGACATCCCAGGTCCGGGAAATGCGTTTTTATCATCGAAAACAATTTTTAAAAAGTATGGATTTTTAAGGGTTTCATTCATTTTAACACATTCGCGACGATACCGTACCAATGACGGTTTAATTTTTAGTGTCAACTTAACTTGTTAAGGACTTTTATTATCTATGTATTTCATAAAAATTTCTCGACAACTTCTCGACAATTTCTGTACTAGTTCTCTCGAGAGGAGATTCAGGGCTGTCGAATGACTATAATAGTTTAGTTTATCTTTGAAATCTTCACCAAATTATCAGTAAAACAGTTATCGATGACTTGACTGTACGCCCAATATAGCGTCGTCGCGAATGTGTTAAATGCCAATTTTCCGTTGCGATTCAGATTTGTGGCCTTAACAAGATTCTTTAGTCCTTAAACTTTAATAAGCTTAAACACGCTTAAGGTCTTTGTAAGCTAAAACAAATCACGGTAAGCCATCGAACTAAATTCGAGATCAGCATGAAAAACTGGTCCAGAAAAAATAGATTTCGAAACCCCCCCTCAACCGGCGTAGTACCAAAAAGTGTAAGTGCTTGTGACTTTTACGCCATATTTCATCTCTAACATTCAACTAGAATGTTTCTTTCTTTCAATTAGGTATTTACTTTTTTGCTGAGAGTTGTGTATGAGAAACCTTCAAACTTCATGAAAATTTGATAACTTTTAAGGTTTAAAGCTTTTATATATATTTTTTTCTTTAGAGCGATTGTTTGCCTACATCGGCTGGAGTTTTTCGCTTCGAATTTACGCCCAATGGAGACGATTTGATCGCCGCGTTAACTGATGGAACACTTGCTCAATTTTCGGTCAATCAACGACAACAAACATCAAGTGTAAAAGCATCAGGTTTATCACAATTTATTTAACTGACAATTACCAAATATTTGTTTAGATTCAATGCTTCTCGACGTTTCAATTACTAACTCATCATTTCTCACTTCGGATAACAATGGTCACGTGATGCTGTTGGACCGAGCGAGTAGCTCTTTAATTCAAACACGTGATGTTCATCATTTACCATACACAAATGAAGGATGTGAGGTAAAACATTAAATTAATGAAGATCTTTTTAGTTTTTTTGTCTTAGGTGTGGACGTGCTCTTTCTTGAATGACACAATGTACGCATCAGGCGGTGAAGATGCCTTTTTAAAGATTTGGGATTATCGTTCTGACAGCAAAGTTGCCGAGTTGAAGCATTTCGAAAGTGGTGTCACGTTTGTAGCTCCGAGGTTGGCATTAAATTATCGCTAACAATCATACAAAGGTTTAGTAAATCAGATACTGACAAAATTTACACTGGCTCCTACGATGAACATTGTCGAATATTCGATACACGAAACTTTTCTCAAGTTTACAAAGAAATCAAGGTACTAGTTCAATGTGAATTGAACGTTAATCTTATAATTTAGCTTCCCGGTGGTGTCTGGAATATCGAACAAGGAGAAAACGATTTGCTAGCCGCTTGTATGTACGGAGGATGGACTTCGATGACAAACGAGCTAGAAATCACTTCTCAAGACGTCGATTCTGGTAATATTTCGATAGCGGATAACTTTCGTGCTCATTCAGGTAAACAACTTTTATATGGTGCAACAATGAATAAGAAGTATATCGCTTATGTGACATTCAACGATTATCGCGTTACTGCAAGACAGCAAGGAGTCACTGTAAGTTATTTAGTGCTCCTCAAAGCCAAAATTGATTTTTAGGCAGTTGGCAAGCAAATGAAATGAGGCGTTCGGTCAAGACGAGAAATCGATCGAAGAAAGGATAGATCTAACGGAAAAAGTGATTATTTCGATCAATAAATAATCTTTCATCCCATTGGATTTCGGTGAACAAAGTTCGTTGTAAAACAGAGTTAAGTACAACTTGGCGAACCATTAAGCTCCCTGAGCCCAACTCTGGGAATCGTAAAGCTCCGAAATTTTGAAAGCACTGCTATTCGTAGATCCATGTACAAAGGTTCGGCAAGGCCAGTTTGTAAATACCGGTTCCTTTTAACTTATCACTAGTTTTTAAAATTTTTTCTGGGGTAATTAATTGCACTGAATCCATTGGAAGCATTTATATCCTGAACAACTTTTACGTCAGTTTGAGCAACAATTCCGAACCTTTAAGAGTGGCTCTATTTGCATTGGGTTTAGAGGTGTGGGACCGAACTAAGAGGCTTAAAACCTCAGTAACTGCTTGATTTGAGCTAGAAAACAGTTACTAAAGCTTAAATAAATACCAAATTAAGAATCTATGCCAGTAAAAACCCTAAAAGCAAAAATTAGTGCCCTCTGGCTCAATAGAGATGAATGACTATTATAGCACCCAAACGTTTACCCCAAACCCACAAGCACAACAATGAAAATTTTTTCACAAGCATTAAAATCACAAAACAGACACACCGAAATAAAGAAACTAAGCAACACGAAAGCCTCAAAGTTATTTTCGTAGTCGATCTTGGCACATCCAGTCATCACCCGGTTTAAAGTGTTGGTGGTTTGTTCTCTAAACACTAAGCTTGAAATTTAATTTTTAAGAATCCCAAACTCGCCATGTTTCAACATCAACTGGCGTCACATCGTTAGCCGTCGAGAGATCGCTGTTCTCCTGAAATAATATTCATAAACTGTACACTGGAAGCACTTACCCTCATCAAATCAGAGGCCATGTTCGACTCGCCGAGTTCTCCCACCCAATGTGCCTTGCGAACGAGACGCTTGTTTTTCTAAAATTTGTTTTAAAGTCAATAATTGGAATTTACAAGGATTTTAGTCAGTAAAATTTCAAGATTCCTAACCTGCCAATCAAGAGGTGCCTTCAAATCGATGGAGAGTTGCTCGGCGGCAAACATCAACTGGGAGATCAGATAGCGATAATCGGGACGATCGAAGAAACTTAAAAAACATTCGGTATGATCCAAATATCTTAAAAGTCCACCTGACTGAATCAATTCGCTCCAAAATGTGATCAAATTGTTGAGGCAATCCTCGTAGAAATTCTTTTCTAAAATGAGGCATCAAGGTTCAAAGATAATCCAAAAAAGAAACCTTCCAGAACCCCGAATGAATTGTTTCCACTCGAGAATCAACTGATGCCTTTCCACTCCGTACAAATGAGCCCACGGAAGTGTGCCTGTAAAATACTGGTTGCATGGTTTAGGTAAAGAAGAATTTACCTTTCAGGAGCTCGCATGCCATGTAAAACCAACTTTCGATATCATCGCGTCGACATTGTTCTTCACTAAAAAGAAATTTGATGCCTTTTATAATTACTCCGAAGCTTACCGCTTGTGAGAGGCCATCGGTGCATAAAGGAAAGTGCCCATCAAAGCAGCGGCTGGTCGAGGTTTCATCAGCACTCCATTTTTGTCTCTAAAATATAATTATAGATGAGCCATTCATCTTAAAACACGGCATAAATCAACCATTCCTAAACACATACTTGTATTTCCGAGCAAATCCAAAGTCAAGCATGTAGATTATGCTCGCTCGGCTCTCCAATCCAATCGCAAAATTTGGCGCCTTCACATCTCTAAACAACAAAATAACTCAAAACTATCTATCTAACGCAAAAGTTGTCTTTAACGCTAGTGTTCATGTGCTTAAACGCATACCTGCACAGTAATCCATGATCGTGCAAGGTTTCAAGTCGTTGCAGCGTCTGAATGCACACTTGTAAAGCGGTTGTCGTCGAAAATCTAAAAACACAAAGTTTAAGAATGAAAATTTTCCGCTACTCACTTTTTCGCATCCAATGATCGTCGCAATTTTGATAAATCGGGTCCCAACAACTCCATGATGCAGTACTTGTAGTAGGGCGTTTGACCGGCACCGATGAAACGCGGGAAGCCCGTCTGAGTGTTCATCTCGCGCAGCACAAACACGTCCAACTTCAGCACAGGTCTGTAAATGAAAAGTATAGCAATATAAGGTCAGAAAAATATCACCTAATATTGCCAACTTGTCGCTCAACTTTCATCGCAAATTTCTCGTTAACGTTCGTTTTCTGAAAAGAAAAGACTGAATAAAAGGCTCCAAAACAAAGCTAGAAAGCTCTAGAATAAAAATTTTTAACCTTTCCAAGGAGATAAACATCGGAGAATGGACCAGAATAGATGACACGAAGAACGCGAAATGAGCCCACCTCCGTCGTGTGCGGTTCAATGATTTGTCCGACCTGAAGCAGGTAAAATGATAAGGATAAACAGCAAAGTTATTGCTAAAGTTAATGATTAGCTTCCTATTTGCAAATTTTGATTCCAGTTTTGCAAAGCTTCCCCAGTACTAACCCAATTTCAAAACTCCATCACCTGTGGCATTTGTGGGTCATCGCGACAGTTTGAGCCCATCACCGTAAGCAGTAAACAAATAAATGAACCTGAAATCGCGAAAATAGTGCAAAAAAAATCAAAAAAACCAACTTGTGATGGAAGAGAGACTGGCGAAATGATTTTAATAAAGCTGCTTTGCGATTTATATAAGCCCTTTAAATGCAAATTTTTGTATTCGACGCACTTCTGACTTTTGTAGAGACGCGTCTTTCCTGTAAAAAGTCTGCGCAAATTTGATCATTTTTCATTTGATTTTTGCGTTTGAGCTACTTTGCGCCAAATTTTTTTGCGCAACTTTCCATAACTTTCCGCTAAGTCGGCCAATCTTTATGATTTTGGTGTCATTTTGTAGGTCTCGACAAGTACAACAAAATGGCATGGCACCCAAATCTTAGAGATTAGCACACTTAGAAGAAATTTATCGCAAGTTGCGCAAAAAATTTGACGCAAAGTGGCCACCCCCATTTTTCGCACCAACACCTCACTTTTTCTTCAAAACCACTTTTTCTGGGGTATTTTTATGCGTAGATTCCGAAAAACACAACGAGAGTTTGAGAAAATGCGTTTTAAGCAAAATTTCGGGCCTCCAAAGTGCGCGCTTCTATAGTGTGCTTCACTATATGAAGCTCAAGCTATCGACTATTGGGCACGTTCAAGGTCAAAAACTAGTGCGAAAACCATTTTAAACCATTAAATATTCACTTTCTAACATAAATTGACTGGTAGAGGCAAAAAAAGTTGAAAAATGTTTTTTTTTGAGATTTTGGCCTGACACATTGTCAAAAGTTTGGAAAAAATTCTTTTTCTTTTGCTCCAATTTGATCAGAAACGTAATCACTAGGTTAAATTATGCCAGAAGAAGTTATTCGCTTCAAAAAGTGTTTTTGTATGTATGACCTCCTATGTGGATCGCTCTCACCACACTGTATGACCGCGCACTTTGGAGGGCCCGAAACTTTGCTTAAAACGCCTTTTCTCAAGCTCTCGTTGTGGTTTTTGGAAGCTACGCATAAAACTACCTCAGAAAAGGGGTGTTGAAGAAAAAAAATTGCCCTCCGCCTCCCAACCGGCGTAGAACCAGACACATTTCTTCTAGGTGTCGTCAAGTCGGAAGCGGATGCAATGGATAGTGAGGAATATCGAGAACTGGTGAAGAAATATCCGTTCTACTCAATGTACAATCCTTGTAAGTTTTTGTCGTATTTTAAATTGCAAGGCAAGAAAGCTGCAGATGAAGGGATTGGACTTTTAACTGCTATAGATACTTTTTACTCGTTACCAGTGCAAAACAGTCTGATTACGTCTGAATTAGCTAGTCTTATAAGCTCGTCTTGAAGTGGAACATGAGACGAAATTTATATTCTATTCAGCTTGGGCTCCAACGATTTTCTCTGCTTGGATAAATTGCGAAAGTTTGAACTTGGGACATATGCTGAACGCCGCGAGTTTTCGCGCGAGTGCCATGCAACGACAAAGTTATTACACGAATGACACTGCCGCGACTTTCGGGAAAGACGTCGATAGAAGTGAGTTTCTATTTGCAATTAGGAAAGGTGAATTGCCAAAATTGATCTTGTAAACGTGTTGGAAACAGGAAACTTTTCTTTCTAGTGACGCTCAACCAACTAACTCCTCTGGGAACGTATTCAAGAAAAATCTTCATTGGTGGACTCCCGCGGAACGAATCAAACTATTGTATTTCAGCAGGTTGGAGCTTTATTCAGGAAAGCTAAAACGTTACCTTTTAGCTATGCTCACCGAAGCACTCAGCAAGTTTGGTCCAGTTGAGGTGGATTGGCCAAATCGGGAAGAAGATAACTTTGCACCAAACAATGGCTTTGCTTTTGCGATCTTTGAAAAAGAAGAAAGCGTCCACAGACTGCTCGACAGCTGTCAACCTTCACCAAACGGAGAGATGATGCTTATCAAAGCTGACTCAATCGAAAAAAAGGTTTTGTTTTCCTTTTTAAGATGAGTACAATTCGGATTTAGGTTCAAATTCGCCCATGGATTTGCAAGAAAAAGTTTTGGAACAATACCACAATTAGCAGCGAGAGTTTCACAAGCTTGGAACGCTTCACGACTTTTATTGGTGGAGTGCCTCGGATCGTAACTGCAGGTCAAAAACCATTGTAGCTTTTTAAAACTTTACGTTTTAGAACAATTGGCTAAAACATTGATGAACAAAATTGGAAATGTCGCCATTGTGGAAATTGAAACCGATCGGTTCACCAATTATCCTAAAGTAAGTTTGGTTCATCTGGTAGCTTCTAATCATCTCTTCAGGGTACCGCTCGAGTCGTTTTTGCGTCGCGTGAAGCTTACGTTATTTCACTGGCTCGACGTCTGTTGACAATCGATGTGCCCGGCTCGAACAAGGAGATTGAAATTAAGCCATACCTCTCGGACGAATTCTACTGCGACAGATGTAGAACAAAGTCCGGAAGCAAATTCTGTGCTGAGCTTCCCTGTCTCAAGTAAGTTATTCTGAAGCGTTGATGGTACTTATAATATAAACAATCTGTAACGTTGACTTGGCTGTAAACTTTCGAACTTCCTAAAACGACTATTTTAGATACTTTTGCAATGACTGCTGGGATGAGTCTCATAAATTCAAGGACCATCAGCCAATGTTGTGCGGCAGCTTCTATCGTGGACTGGAGATGATAAAAGTCGTCAAGCCTCCCGAGGATCGTCCCCGTTTCACCGAGACCCAACTTTCGAGCAGTGGCTGTTCATCGGGTGGACATCGCGAGCGCACAACTACAACTACCGCTTCAGGGTCACTAATTGAAAATTCTTTTTCCGTTAAAATGAACTATTGAATTGAGTTGAACAATGCAGTACCACTTTAAGAAATTATGCAGATATAATAACGTTTTGCTTCTCGTTCTTAGTGTCTTGTTTAATTTAGTTATAGTTTTTAAGCCCCTTTATCCCTTTAATCGTTAATTTTTCGTTGTTGTTGCTTTGAAATTTTACTTCATTTTTTGGTTTAACAATAGAATAAAGATTTTTGTTGGTTCTTGCCAGTAAAAAGACTGTTCAGAGTTTCAAGTAGGATTTCTGGTTCGTTCAAAAGTTGAACTCGCTTCTATTAGACCTGCTGAAGGGGTCTGGAACTTTATCGATACCGTGTCCAAGACTTGTTAAGCTATCGGAAGCGATACCGAGTCCACTCATTCTTTCTTTATTTAGGTAGTGATGCAAAAATCGGTGCTCACAGTTTCATTTCGTCAAATCATAGTCAGCATCCCCCTTTCGAAAATTTGTCATCGCTTTTGTTGTCTTCAATCAAAGTCAAAAATATACCTGACTTCAAGCCTTGCCTAAGATTATTCCAAGCGGAAGAATCTTTATGGGTTTTGGATGGATAGGACTCTGTATCGATAAGGTTACCCTGTCCGACCGAATCCAGGACTCGTTAAGATCCATATCGGAATTCCGATAAGCAGTTCTAGCTTCTAGCCTATGGAATTTCAGTTTTAAAATTTAGAATCTGCGCTTTGGCCTTCGGAAAGACTCAGCGGTTTTTTTGTGGCGATCAAATCTTTTTTCCAATTTTCCCTTTTGCCCATTTCTTCTCTCACCTCTTTGTACACATTCTTTTCCCTTGCAAAAAATTATATTGCGTAAGCATTTTTGGCAAATAATGTCAAATTATCAACTTTCTCATTTTCAGATGGCAGAACAAAGTGTTGTCGTCGAAGAGCCTATGGTCGACGATGATTTTGAAGTTCAGTTAATTTTAAAACATTTTAATAGCTATCTTTAGGGTGTCCTGGCAGAAATTACGGAGATGGAGCAAAACCACGAAAGGAACAAACTTATTGGAATGGTGGGTTTAGTTTTGTGAATAAGTACAATCTTATAAGTCCAGCCTCATCATACCCGACTTGTTTAGAGAGAAGTCTTCCCGCAACTTTCGGAGGCGACGATTCGTGAACACTTGCATTTGGATGAAGAGCCACTTTTCCTTCGTTTAGACGAACTTGCTGTAAGTTTTATCGGTATCGGTAATGTTTAAGTATTAGAAATCGATAACGCCAAAAGTCGAGCCGGCAAAAGACAATAGCAAGGTCGCCCCAAAGCCATCTTATACAGCTGCTGAACAGTTAGTGATAAAGTGAAACTATTAAATTGTAACTTCAGAGTCATCAACCCAGAAGAGATTCAAAGAGAAATGCTGAAAGAAAAGCTATTGTCAAAATTGCGTGCTTTGGAGAAAAAGTTTGTACCAATATTTTTTGCTTAATATGTATATCGTATAATGTTTAGACAGCAGTCTGAAGAGGAAGTGCAACGTACGACAATAGAAGAGACGAAAATCAGCATGTTCCTACGTGATGCTTTTCCCACGGTTAATTCTTGGAGTGCTAAAATCTTTACATATTAATTTAGATCCGGCAATGTGCAATCAACGAGGTAATGCAGAAACGTGGTTTCTACCAATGCATCATCATTCTTCGACTCGTTGAAATGGGGTACACGGATGATTTGCGAAAACAGAAATGTAGGTTTTGAAAGATTTTAGATGCAAAATAAGTCGTTTTGTCTTATGTATATGTTAATGTTTAGTCATTCCCAATAAGCTTCAAATGGAATCCGAATCTAATGCGATGCGAATGAAAGAGGCAAACGAAAAGCACAATATCCAGCTCCCACAGATGGCCATTGAGAAATGGACCAAGTACGAATCAATGATAAATGCTGTAAGTATTGGAAATATTGCAAACCTTTCTCGCATATCAATTTTAGGATTTTTTAACCGCAGTTTTGGCTCTTACGCAATTTGAATGCCCGATTTGCCTTGTTACAAACGCTGACAACGATGGTATTTTTTGCAGAAATTTCGACTCGAATGACAAGGAATATAGTAAGTTATTAATAAAGTTATGGAGCTAAATCTTGAATTTAAGCTGCACATCTTTTCTGCAAGGATTGCGTGAAACAACATGCGATGACTTCGGTGAACGAAATGACAATGGGCCCTGGTGGTTGTGGGGTGAAATGCCTTGAGAAATGCACAGGAGTTATTCTAACTTGTGAGGATTTTAAGTTTTTAAAATTTTACTGTTTTTAGCTCAAATTGAACCATTGCTTAACGCGGACGAGAGAGAGCTCTTTGATAAGCGAACCACAGAAGCCGCGCTTGCTGCCGTTGAGGACAAGGCATAGTTGGTTTTTACTGTGCATTTTCATAATAATTTAACGCTTACATAGACTAATTGCATTTATTAAAGCGTTTATAGTATTCCGACAGCTTCATAAAAGAATGTCTTTCAGTTGTAAACGCTGTAATTATGCCGCAATCGTCGAAGAGCCAGAGAAACAGCCGCGATTTTTCTGCCTCAAATGCAACTACAAATATTGCCGGTACAATTTTAGACTTTAGATACAAGGATTTTCATCTTAGACTTTGTGGCAAGAACTACGATGAGAAGCATGAGGGTCGTGCGTGCGAGGATGTGATCACAGCTGTTGATGAGGCTCGAAAGCGAAAGTGGGTTGATTATACGTGCTGGATCGAACTTATTGCAATTTGGCTACACACTGCGATTTTATGATTTAGGGAAGAAGAATTGACCGCGATTGTCATTCGCAGATGCCGTTGTGGGGTGGAATTCACAAAAGTTGCGCTTTTTTAAACTCGATTGTAATCGAAAACTCTAGGACGGAGGTTGCCATATGATGACTTGCCGCAGTTGCGGCCAGACCCAATGCTATGTTTGTCGTCAAATTGGAATCAATCACGATCATTTGCGGTTTGGTAAATTGTGTGTTTTTCAAATTTCATCCCTTTTTTTAGATATTGTGTACAGCTAAGTGACGCACAGATCTTGGAACGCGATGAACAGGAACGAATCAACGCTATTAATACCGGAAGGGGAGATGCTCTGATTAAAGGTTTTTTATTGGAGAAATTTTGTGAACGGGCATTGAAATCCAAAGGCTCTAAAATGAAGTAGAAGATAGTAACCATTTTTATCTTTAGATCAGGTCGACAGGTTGCGCTAGCGCTGAAGACTAAGGCTTTTTACATCGAATTAACAATCACGGGCTTATGTAAATACGGTCACATTTGTT